TAATAATAATGAGGAATAATAGGATTTTAAATAAAAATAGGAACCTCAAGTTCAAGATGTTGAAATCAACAATTACATTTTCTTATTTTTGCCAAAAGAGCCAATTTAGAAGTTTTCATGTCACAAATTCATTATGATAAAAACGTCTGTAGCGTTGCTGTTGATATCATGATAAAAGTATCTGTCAAAATCGTCCAAAAGATTTATGAAGTATATAAATATACTGTATGTCAACATCTAAGTCTTATTGTGTCATCCAGTCGTCTGAGCATCCTTTTCTCTTCTCTCTGTTTCCCACTTTTCTATCTTACAAGCTTTTTCTAAAGAAGACATAAACAACTCCTCCTTCTCCTCTCATCTAAAACGACCCTGCTCTTTGAAGACAAAGTTGAAATGCTCTTTTCTCCGGTCTCCTCAGCTTTACTCTCATCATCCCCTCCGCCCCCACCACTCCAAGTGTCTGGCACAAAGTGATGACACAAACCCTTGGTGGGCGTCCCCCTCTGCCAACTGTTGCCAGTCTAATGGAGGCCTTGCCAGCGAATGAGACGGCAAAGGTGCCAATTAATACGTACGATTACACATAGAGGCATCCCTCTTATTTCCTCCAGCTCCATCTCTTCTCTCCCTTTGTCTTCGCTCCTCTCTGTCCTTTCTTTTCTTTCGCTCCTCTCATCTTTCTCTAGGTTTTTGCTTTTTCATCAGCTGTAACTTGCCCCCCCCCATCCCTATATTTGAATTTCAATCACAACAGTCCTCAACTACACCACAACAGCCATCGAGGAAGCAGCCAGTGCCCTCCGTTGTTTTTTATACCTCCCTCCCACTCACTCACTCTCTCTGTGTAAAACCATCCTGAAACACCAAGGCAGCTTGCTGAGGTAATCGTGGCTTCCAGTGTTGACACTGTCAGCAAATGCTTCCGTAATTACACATGTTTACATGTAATGCTGCGTGCGTCAGTGGTATCAGTGGAGAAAAAGTTAGCAGGTTTTGTGGTCTGAGCTAAAACAGTTATTCCTCAATGGAATAACACAGTTAGCATTGAAATTAGGGTTCCTATCTGTATGAATCTGGAAGAGGGCTCTTTCCTTGAGGGATCTTGCTTTGTTTCTGATTTAATTGTTTATTTTTGAGCTTTACCTAATTGCAAATTAAATCAAATCTTATTTGTAAAGCCTATATTCACAAGCCAGAATTTGCCTCCTTGGGATGAACAATCAGTACATGGTGTGACATCCTCTGTCCTTTACCCTCGACAAGGGTGAGGAAAAAATACCCCCCCAAAAAAATCAGAAATCGAGAGTCACAAGTGAAGGATCCTTTTCCTAGGATGGATGGAGGTACAGTAAATGCTGTGTGTAACAGAGCACATCAACAAGATAACAATATTAATGAGAAAATAATGTCTGGGCTGTATCTGAATCAGTGATGATGCTCTGTGACTCAGGGTTAACTGAGTTAGAAGTAAGTAGATTTGTACAATAGGTTTGTGATAAAGGCTTTACAAAAAAAAAAACTTTGTATAAGACTGTTTTGACTATTGTGTATTAAATGTCTTTGCTGTGACTTAAGTTAATTTAATGGGTTTGGTATTTTTCTCATTCACACTTACAGCTAGAATGGCACCGGAGCTCAAATCTCCGCCAAGGCCCGACAGACCCCTTCAATTCAATCAAACCGCACAAAATTGCACATATTTATTGGTATCTGTCTCGTTAGTAGGCCTGATTTTTTTCATCAAGATCCATAAATTGGAAAATGGGTAAAAATGTCAAAACATGCTCATCTTTCTTGATCTTGATTTTTTTTGTCATCCTGCTAACAAACAGTTCCCCAATGGTAAAGGCATATCCCCTATAATTTTAGGAGGCAATTTTCATTCATACAGCACTTTAGATAAAAATAAAAGACAGACACTCTGTATGAATATGAAGAATGATTAAAATAGAAATGGACATTTTGCTTATTTGTGTTGATGATTGTTAAACCATATTGTTTTGAATTTGTATGTATACTGCCTGTGGAGGTTGTGGGGGTCTGTGGTGTATTTGTAACAAAGTGTGCAGAGACTTCCTAATTACTAACTGATAGACAGCACTGGTGACTCATCTAATATCAGCAGATCTCATAAGCTTCATTCACTCTCTAATAGGGTTGCAAACCTCAAGTGATGGCCTGTAGGTGAGTGAGCGTGTGTGTGTGTGTGTGTGTGTGTGTGTGTGTGTGTGTGTGTGTGTGCGTGCGTGTGCGTGTGTGTGTGTGTGTGTGTGTGTGTCAGACAGAGCGAGAACATTTTCATTAATTAATCTTTGCTGTGGCCAGAATGATAATTCGGAGAGGAATCTATCTGCAGCTCACTTCATCATCCTGAATATTAATATAATCAGACCTGGAAGCCAATTTCATCCAGATCGAATATGTCTCCTCACTCAGTCACAATCAGTAACTCAAAATCAACCCAAGGCACAGAAAACAGGAATAAATGCCTTTGCTGCTCTATGTATTTTTTGCGCCTTCATGTTACTACCAAAACATTGTTCAGGAAATTGCAGAGAAAGCTTGAGGAGTATTTGCTGATGAAGATTATATGTAAATGCATTTTAGAATATACAGCAACAGGGTAGAGTGGATGACAAACAGCCAAAGGGCCCAGACTGGATTCAAACCCTGGAGTCAAATGCCTCACTACACACTGACCTCTGTACCAGAGACAACAAACTCATCAATAAGTGCTGCCTCATTCATACAAAAGCTCAGTAAAAGGTGAAGTCTGATTACAGCATTTGTCACCATTGGGAGAGTCTCTGGAGTCTCATCCTTTCTGTCTCTGTTCAGGCAGGTGAGATAAGAACATCCATTAGCATGTGTCTGTCTCACTGTTTTTTAATTAAGCTTTCTAATTTTGGTCCTACAGTAACTTACTGAGGGACTGAGTGTCCTCACACATGCTGAATATCAGCTGATCAACATGCTGGAGAGTCAGCAGCCACTCTGACTATCTCTTTAACTACAACCTTCCATCCATCGCTCATATTGTCCCCTCCCCTTTTCTACTCCCTACAACCTTGCATCCTTCCTCTCGCCAACAGCAGCACTTTGTTAAGAAGCCTGAGCTCAGGTCATCAATAATTGAACAGCAAGAATCATGTGGAATTCTCTAAGAACCCTGTCTGCCACCCTTTGTATTACTGTGCTGTGAAATGATTAATATTTAATTATGTGTATGTGTACGAGAGGGGCATAGAGGTGTTGGGGTTAATCTGATGTTGCATCAAGCTCCTTCTCTTAAACCATAAACATTTCAGCTCTGACGTTGAAGGACCTCTCCTGGGAAGGTAACTGGTTTGAAATGCCCTTTAATAGAAGAACTCTCCCCGCTGAACTGACTAACTGCTAAATATTAACCCCCTTGGGTCTTTTAGTGCAGTGTCAATGATGAAATTTAAGTACAGCGGTGCAGAGGTTATGGTTTATGAGCTGTAACCATCTCACAACAGTCCACAGTTGCTCATTAGATCAGTTCACAACATCCTCTGCCCTCCGGTTAATCCAACATGATGTTCAGAGGTTGAAGTTGAATTTGGGTTTTTCTTGTTACAAACAAAATTTGATTAACATTTAGGTCAAAATTAAATTCCAATTTGTTAATGTTAACATTGACTCCTCCACACACATTAAAGTTAGTCATGGAGCTCCACAAGGTTCTGTACTGGGATGGATACTTTATATGTGCTTCCTTTAGGTAGTATTATCTGAAAGCACAACATACATTTCCACTGATATACAGATGACACCCAGCTATTATTATCTATAAGGCTAGATGACATCAATCAGGTAGTTTAAAGGCCTTGATGACCAAAGACATTTTACTTTTGAATTCAGAGAAAAATGAAATCATTGTACTTGGCCCTAATAACCTTAGAGAAACATGATCTGAGCAGATAGTTACTTTGGATGGCATTAGCTTGGCCCCCAGCTCTATAACCGAGCAGTTCTTTTCAATATAGTAGATTGATCTATCATTTAGTTTCTATTTATATAATCTACAAATGTTAATCATTTTACTGCACTTCCTGCTCTCCTTAATTCAGCCGTGTGCAGACTTTTACCTTTTTGCCCTCATCTTCTGGGAACTCTGTACATTCAGTTAACTGCCTGCCTCTCCATCAGACTCTCACTGGACCACCTAGTTCTCTTTGCCTCATATAAGATCAGACTGTCTGCTACAAATTTGCTCATTTGAATCACCATCTTTACGATAACACTTTCAAACTGATTTGAAATAAGAGATAACTTTAGGTGGAAAGCTTGATTACCATACTTACTTTGTTTACTATGTTAAACTTCAAAGTTTTCCTCTCTTTTGTAATCTATGTTTGGAAAAAATAATTTCTGGGCTGAGGTGTCATGTGATCTGCAGCCCTACACAATTGCCTCAGGTTCTTTCCTGAGCAGGACATGAAGTCGGAGGTTTTCAAACAAGGACATTACTGAATTTACAGCACCTCTGAAGACATGGAGACAGACTGTATGGTGATTTTAATGGGAGTGAGAACCAACTACAACAAGAAACCATCTCCAGGGACACTAGCTTCCATCACCAAACTCTCCAACATCCCAAAAAATCCAACAAAACTCCATCAAACAAGCTCCTTGTGTAACTCCTGCTCACATACCCTTTTTACCTTGGCAATATAAATTCAAAAATACAGAAAAGATTTCCTGTGTGTAGGTGTTATAGAGCACCAAGCAAAAAAGAAGCAGACAGACAAACTGGAACAAAACTGCCAGAGATAACTGAGCTGTATATAAAAAAAACCCCGAAACAATTAGGGAAGAGTCCAAGAACATACTGTGCATTTGGAATCCAGTAAATCTCACAGAATCACCATCGCTTTCAATTCATAATCCTGTTTCATAGATCTGCCTATAAAGACACACACACACACACACACACAAACACACAAACACACACAAACACACACTGTTCAACTCACCCACTGAGAACGACGATGAAGTCCATGACGTTCCATCCATTCCTGAGGTAGGAACCTTTATGAAAAACAAAGCCCAGGGCGATGATCTTTATTCCGGCCTCAAAACAGAACATCCCGATGAAGTAGGGCTCTGTCTTCTCCTGTTAGTGCAAAGCAAGAGAGCAGTCAGATAACCTGTTTGCTTTAGCTCAAACTGACCTCAAATCGAAGCTGGAAGGGGGACATTTTTTTATCACCAGAGACAATTTAGATTTGTTTAATTTTAACAACTCAACAGACTCACCAATCTCTTGGACATGGGTGTTTTGTCCTCTCCAGGGAGGTGCTGCTCCAGAGCCAGGACGATACAGTTGGCGATTATGGTGGCGAGTATCATATATTCGAATGGAGTAGAAGGCTGACGTTAAGGAACTTAGCAAACTTTTAAGTGACTGACATGACTGAATACAGTTGTTGATTGTATATATTTTTGTCTCATGAAAAGATGAAAACCAGAATTAATGTCTCTTTCTGTTGGTGTCAGGCCAAGTTGGTTTTACTACTATCCATCCATTGTCTATATCTCTTATCCTTAGGTGAGAGGTGGGTACATGCAGGAGCGATCCCAAGGGTCAACATACAGAGACAAACATCAATTCACAGACAGATACAGACAATTTTGAGTCTCCAATTGACCCAACCAATCTGAATGTCTTAAGACAGTCAGAGGCTGCAGAGTACCTAGAGAAATCCCTCACAGACACAGAAAAACATGAAAACTCCAAACAGAAAAACCTGGGCTTAGGATTTGAACCAGGAATTTCCTTGCTGTGAGGCAATGGAACTAACCACTGCATAAGCATTCCACCCTACTACTGTTGAACATGTAAATCCAATTCAGCACACAGTGAATCTGTTTTAGGTACGTTAATGTTCAGATACAGTACAGGTCCGGAAATCTTTTTTAAAATGTAATTGAAGTACATCAGACCCAGCAGTGTGTCGCGTAAGCAAAGGTCGACAAGCTTCAACATTTATTCCTCTGCATGAAACAGAATTAATGTGGAATGTAATAAGCCCCGGGGCTCCAGACACAACCAGACACAGGCTGCACCTTATCAGAGGTCAGCTGCAACAGACAGCAGCACAAAGACACACACACACACACACACACACACACACACACACAATGACAACAGAAGGTTTATCGAGGAGGGGTGAGTGGGTGGGCCTGAGTTGTGCTCCTATAAACAGGGCAACTCTTACAACAAGCTTTACAGTCTGTTCTATGAGACCTGTGTTGTTGTCAGTTCAACTGTGGCTGCTCAGGGGTTGAGCTGAGAGCATAAATGTGCTCTGTATCTAATGCTCTGCGTGGGTAGTCCCCTCTTTCCTGGTTGTGTGCAGGAGATGTATAGGAAGCAAGGGAGCTAAAATCTGCAGAGATGACACAGGAAAGGAAAGCGGAAGAATGAAGATGATGCGAGCAATAACGGGTGATCGGCAGGGAGGAGAAAATGGTTATATCAAGAGTGAGAAGCTTGTGAAATAGGTGGGTGAGGAGGAGGCAATGAAAGACTGACACCGGACAGGTCGATGCTGCGCTGGCAGTCCTATCCAGCAGGGTTATTCAGGGATGTGTGAGCGATTACAAGCTAAATAAGTGTAGCAAATACGATCTCCCACATGCCGACAGGAGTTCTGACTTGTGCCACACACTCACTGACTCAGTGGCTGCAAGTTAATAGCTGAGAACTTTTGGAAAAAAAAACAAAACCATAGCAGCCATCTGCAGACGATGAGCACAAAAACATATGGTAAAATGTGTCTGTCTGTCTCAAGCTGGGGGGCTGTTTACAAGTTTTTCAATAAGTAGCATCACTTCAGCCTACGTTCCCACACAATAAACAGGAATTGGTGGGAAAGGGGAAAAAAGAGAGAAAAAGAAGATAGAAACAGAGGATGGAGGTATCCACGGCAACAGGCTTCCCATCCTTCCAAAAGTCAATGCTACAAGATGGCAGCTGAGCTGGCGCGCACGCAAACAATGCTGTACTAATTATAACCACTATATGATGGATCTTTAAGAAAAACAAGCTTGTATCAGTCAAATAAATGACTTAACTGTCCAAATTGTGAAAGTGGAGTCTTGGCAAAAAAATTTGATTGCAAGAAATATATTAAGACATTTATATGAGATTTTTGCCCAAGAGCCTGGATGTCAGCTGGTGTATGTGACGCGGATCATGGATCGTCTTCCAGCTTTAGCAACGAGGTGTCTCGTGAGCAATGTTGTGAGTCACAGTGACGCTGGCACTCTGCCTCGATTCCTCAAATATTTGTGTAAAAATAGAAACAGAGACAGTGTGATGCATCTGTGAGCGAGCTTCAGCCCAGATTGGGCCCCGTGATTATTATTGCATAGAGTTGAAAATAAAAATGAATCATGGGCATCTGAGTTGGGCTTATTGGAAACCTGTGAATTATCTGCAGCATGTGTGTTTATATGTGTGTGTGAGCCACAGGTGGAGAACAGTATTAAATATCCAAATATATATAGAGTGCAGGGTTGTAATCTCCAGTTGGGAGTAAAATCAATGATGAAGCTCTGTTTAAGTCTGGAGAATGAAGACACTGATACACTACAAATTAAATCTCTATGTTTCTATTTAATTCAAACTGTTCAGTTGTTTGAATATGGTTTAGATAAAAAAAAGATATTGTCAACTCAACAGATTTGGCTGACTGCTGCAGCTGAACTATAAGTGATCAATCCTGATAATAAATGCAGCCCAATAGTTCAGTTTACGAACGATTATTTATACTAGTTTCATATCCTACAGCTACACTTCCTTAAACTAGAGCTTTAAAAAGCAGGTAATAGGAGTAGGACCATATCTTCATGAAGGACATAAGGGTCATTCCCTTGGTAATTTTACATTTCCAATTCATGCAAGGTTTAGTTAAAAGGAATTTAATGGGCTTTCTCAAATCTAAGTTGACTCTGGAGACATGCAATAAACAGCAAATTCCTAAAATGCTCCCTTAATGAAACTAGAGCCTGTTTAATTTAAATCATGATTATAGGCCTCAAAGGAAGATCTACACACTCAGACCATGTACTCATTCCAGTGGATTGGAAAGTGGACTCTTTGCCCCATATGTGTCTAAAAAGGGTTGTGTTTGATTAAGTGACAGCTCATCTTACTCTCACATGGTTATTTTTATGTGCCCTGATGAAACAAACTCTATTAAATCAAACAATCAATTATTTACAGGTGTACCTTCTCAATGGGAAGCTTCCGCTGTGGGGGATCCCAGTGGGGATCAGAGAGGAGGAGCAGCTGCCAGTTCTCACCAGGCCCGCCACACTAAACTCAGGTCATGTGCTTCAACATCCCTGCATCTTCCCTTCCGGGCCTCAACCTGCCTTTATTCAATGAAATCTCAAGCAGGTAGACTGACTCAAACTAGCAGACCTATATAATCACCCTGTATTCCTGTAAACCAGCACAAAGGGTCATAAAATGTATTGTATGAATATGTATTCAAACTAATGTCAAAATAAAGAGCAACACGCTCTCACAAGCCCATACACCCCTCACTGGCTCCAATATTACAAACCCAAACCACAGAAGCCTCTGGATATTTCCTGGATTGATCATCTGCTGTTAATTGAGAAAGAAGAGCCTCTTAGGGCGCAGAGACTAGAGCAAGTTGTGCTTTAAACGCAAGGCTGACCTTTACGAGACTCCATGCTGAGACTGTGTGTGTGTGTTTGTGTGTGTGTGTGCATTTGTGCTTCTACTCGTGTGGGGATGGCTTTGAGTTTTAGACAATGGGAACAAGGCAGCAAGTAACCATTCATTTCACAATCGATGAATCCTGCAAGTTTGAAATGAATCAATTTGCCTAGAAAATGTCAGAACATAGTGAAAAATATCCAGGGTCTTTTGTAACAACAATATTTCATGGTCTATTGCATAAGAGAGCATGAAATCCAGATTTTTGAGGGCGCCGACCCCTGGGAGTGTCTGCCACATTTACTTAAAAGATACTAAAATGACAATTTGATTATCAATATAGTTGCAGAGTAATGTACTTACATTACTAAGGGTGGTTAAGCTTAAGGCTAAAAAATGCACTCTGTTATTAAGGGTCCTCACAAGTAAGTTTATATAATTTACATATAAGTAAAGTGTGTTTTAATATTTGTCCTGACATGTGTGTGCTGTACATCTTTACACAATAAATATGATCCACATTTACGTAGTGAACTGATCCACTCAACACAGCCACAGTGGACATTGACCAGAATATAACATCACTCAGCTCAGCATCACTCCCTTTGAAACCATATTAACAAACAATATAATACAGTGTGACTCAGTGAGTGATGACTAGTTGTAATAACACACGACACCGCGATCAGACATCATTACATATAATTCCTGTTATGTCTGTTAATCAGATACAGTAGAGCTCATTAGATGTAATGAGACACTCCCTCCACAACAGCACATTAACCTGGAGGTGGTTCAGTCTGGCTGCTTTCCTTCTGGTCACTACAGCACTTACAATGTTCTCATTTATTGCGCCCGAGTACATGTAGGTACATGGAGGTATAGTTGTAGTAATGACCCAACCACTGGAATATCCATAATGTGATAACACAAATACGTGCACACACACAAACTTCAACCTTTTTACCTCAGCTGTTGATTGAAATTCATCCTGTTTCTATTTTTAATCAGCTCAATGAACGGGCCCACATAGAAAAAAACAACAACACACCGCAATCAACAATAGGAGCACACTCATTCTATTTACTGGGGTTTTCAAAAATCAGCAGTGGGGCCAGTAAGTCAGTCAGGAAGCTGCTGAATGGAGCAGAACAATGAAAGTGAAGAGGCCACACCTGGCCCAAACACCTGGTGAGGTGCAGCACAAACACGCCACTAATGCACATTTACGTATTCTCGTTCTTCATCAGTAAAGCAGAAGAAACATTTTCACATCAATGATATGTCTTTAAATTTCTTGTTTTGTTTGATCAGCAGCAGAAAAACAAAATATATTTACTTTGCAGTGAAATGAAACAGAGAAAATAATCAAAGCATCATACTGGAGAAGAATGTTTGACATTTATGCTTAGAAATAACTTAAAAACTATGAAAATAGTTGCTAATTCATTTTCTTTTACAATTAAGCAATCACAACAGCTCTAGTTGTGTTTATTCTGTCTGTTGCATAAACTGTCCAGGAGACACAGTGAGTCTGATGGCACCAGCAGGTCATCATAGTGTTTTGTTGACACAAAATATATGAGCCATACATGGAGAATCTCTCCTCTGTTCCACTAATCCACTTTCCACTGACAACTCCTCCTCCTCTGCAGTAGGTCCTGTCTAAATAAAGCTATTTATATAACCTGTCTCAAACTGATACATAATTTCATCCACTTGTGGCTTTGTATCAGAATAACGGTACAAACTTTGGTGCTTATTCTGTCTTTTCACTTTCTAATAGTAATGCATTGTATTGCATTATATTTCAATGAATCAACTAGTTCATATGAACTAAAGACGTGGGTTGTACTTAAAACATTTTCCAGACTGTACTGACAGTTTGTGTGTGTGTGTGTGTGTGTGTGTGTGTGTGTGTGTGTGTGTGTGTTGTGGTTGAATTTCTCATGAGTGGTGCTGTATGTGCTGTCCATGGTGCTGAAATTTCCCACACTGGTGAGGATTTGACTTTAACATTGTGTGTGTACAACTGAGAATATGAGGAAAATGTGCTATTTGTGGGCCTTTTATACCTTGTGAAAAATATACTACATGCAAGTTTTTTGTACAGACCAACAGGAAGACCTTGTGTATTTAACAGCTACATGACTCCTTGCACATATTGGATGAGTGTGTTTGTAGTTCACACCTTACCCGCTTCATTTTCACCATGAAGCAGAAAAAAAGGATATGGCCACTCAATGATTTTCTTGGCGTACTTCCTGACCACGTTGTCCTCTCCAAAGATGAACAGGGACCTGTTGACGGTGAAGCAGTTCTCCCTGACCGGGATGGGGTTGTACAAGGCCATGGTGCGGGCGCGCTGCGCTTTGGTCTGCTTGAAGGCTGGGGAGACGCCACCTGTGGACACCGCCGCCCCATCGCGGTTCCGGTTGCGCTCGGACCCTCCATCCCCTGAGCTCAACAAGCCCGGAACGTCGTCTCCAAATCTGGCCATTCTGTCAAAAGCAAAAAAAACCAACACGGGAGGAGACAGAGAGAGTGAGACGGGAGAGGGGAGAGCAGGGGAAAGGAGGTTATGTCCTCCTGGAAAGCAGGGCGCGGTGCTGCGCTCGGTGTGGCTAAATCCTGACCAGTTTCAGTCCATCGCCACCTCTGTTCCCCAAAACAAAGAAACTTCAAAACCTGATCAAAACATGAGCAGATATTTCCTCCGTAAGGAGCCGCGTATAGAGCAGCGCGTCGATCCACCTTATAAGTGCGTAAAAAAGGAAACAATTAAAAAAAAGTCATTAAATCCAGCTTCATTTAACGAACCCGTGGTCTTATTAAATGAAGTTGTGAAAGCGGTTTCATTTTGCTGCGTTTTATCCATTGAAACAGCAAAGAGAGCGAAGAGAGAAGAAGCTGCAACAGGTCACGTCTCCAGCCATCCCCAGTCCCCGGAGCGAGGAGGAGAGGAGCAGGTTAATCCATGGATTCTTAAATAAACTGGCAACAGTCCACTGACTAATTCAGATCACATCAGTCCTGTGTCCTCTCTCCTCGTCTCTGTTGACCACCTACGGCAAGATCACTACCCTGCCTGCTTGTGTGAGCGCAGGACGGAATAAATTAAATAATAAGAGAAAAAAACTTTGGCGTCTTCTTCATTTCAACGCGAAGACAATTACGCGTCACAGGCAACAAGACAAAACCAGGAGTCCGTGTCCTCTGCAGCGGGATAGTGAGGGAAGCATCTCCCCCGCCCCCCCTGCACTGTGAAAGAGGAAAGAAGACAACAGTGTCTCCTCATGCAAAGCGACAGGATCAACACACCTCTGCTATAACCTCTGTCCAACCCTGTACCCACGCTGCTTAACATGCGCATATAACCGTGAGAGGAGGCAACACAGAGCGATGCAAGGAATTAATAAAACCTCAGTGAAATGAAAACAATCATTAGATGCAACTGCCTCCACCAGGAGATCATGATTAACTGTAATTATCCAAACTATTCAGATGCAGCCGCACACCGGTTTTTTTGCGTTTTGCTGAACGTGTGCGTGACATTCTCTCTCCGATCGACTGTGATGAGTGACTACAGCCTTTTTATTTGTGACTGGTCAACAGCAGTTTGAAGATGAACCACGCTGTGACATTCGGCTTCGACTTGTGTTGTTCACCTTGCATGGTCACGCCTCAGGGAGAGCGCAGTGGATGCTGGTCACGTATTAGATCCGGACGAGTGTGTGTGTATGTGTGTTTTTGTGTGTGTGTGTGTGGGGGGGGGGACAAACACCTGTTGTGAAAAAAGCGCAGCAGCAGCTCACTCAAGAGGACGACAACAAGCTTCTCTGGCTAATTACAGGGTTTGGAACCTACTATTGCAAGAGGCATGCCAGTGAAAGGGGGGAGGGGGGTGCTGCTGTGTGCTGATGACTGGAAGTGATCATATCTATAGTCTCATGAGGGTGTGGTTGCTACAATCAAGGAGAGGAGTGCAGGGAGCAATGCAATGCTGACAGACATGACGTCTCAAACATGACTGTACAGGGAGCAATAAAGGGATGATTCTGGTCTTATTGTTTTTTTTATTGTCAACAAAGTACTGTGTTAAAGCCTATATTCTACTTCTCTGTTCAGATCTCCAATAGCAAGACAATAAAAAAACACTCTTAAGTTACATTACTATGTCACAGAAATGTACACCTATGCTGCAGACCTGATATATACAATTACACTCCTGCACCCACATGTCAAACAGTCAAGAGCAACCAGTCTGTTTTGGGGTTAGGGTTAGGGTTGCTAACTCCACTAAGGTGGTTTTTTTCATTCCTGTCCATTTGGGTAAGGGTTTGTTTGTTAGCAACATTACACATTAAACTACTGAACACAAAACCTAGTGGATGGATGTGTCATCAGTCAGGGAAGAGCCCAATAAATTAGGTGCAGATCTGGATCAGAGGCCAAACAGGGCATTTTTATAACAATTAACTGATCTCAAAGAAAACAAATTCTGGCATGTTTGGGGGACTGATATTCGGTGCAGAGCCAAATAAAAATCTGATCTGCTAGGCCTTGGCAGATGCAGTCTGAGTGCCATCATAGACTGTTCCATTTTCAACCTGAAGCTGTAGTGGAATCTGTTTATTTCTTTTATGCTTAAATTACAAGCCCAACCAGGCACCTACTGTATTACATCTGTTGCATTTTTTCTCCTTATATGTCAAGATGTTTATCATGATTATATTCTAAATAATTAATGAGCCGCATTTTTGCACTGGTTGACATGTTTCTTCATTAGCACAAACACGCGCTGTAGTTTAGTCAGTCTCTCTGTCCTGCTGTAAATACTTAGCAGTTGATTCAATTTGTGTCACAAGTTACAGTGCCCAGATCAAATTCTGTTTGTTTTCTTAAAGATTTACCTCTTGATTGAAAACAGTGTGCTGGGAGTGGGATATTGTTGGTTTTTGGTCTTTTAATGCATTTTAATGTCAATAATAAAAATATTAAATGAGGCAATGGAGCTTTACACAAAAAAAGCCACCACCACAAAAGATAAGGAACAAGACGTATGACAATGCCTGAATAAAAGCCTTGTTCCTACAGAGCATTCAAACTGAGAGTCTACATAAAGTTAAATTCAGCAGCCAGCATCATAGTTTTAAATCTGAAAGAGTAAGTAATAGTGATGGAGGCTGAAGACAAAAAGAAGAACCACAGGAGATTAACCACAACGCTGACACTGATGGGTATTTAGTGATGGTGGTGTGACGGAGGCAGTGTTCAATGGTGTGTGGCCTCTGACTCATTACTGCTCCAACACAGTATGGACATTAAAAATAGAACATACAACAGACAGGCTACTGATTGCTTCTTGTTATGTACAGTCAGAAGATATATACAGCTTCTCCTCCAGTTATAAAGCAGATATAGAATATTCTACTGCTATAGAAAAATCTCATTTCATTTGTGTTAGATGTTTCAACTATGCATGATTGAAATGTCACTTTCTCCCTCTCAGCACCGCAGTAAGCTAACAATATCATTTCATTGTTTTCTGCCGGGATGAGAGAGAGCAGCAGCAGTCACAGCTTTCTTGGCTGAGAGGGGAGGGGTGAATTATGATAATTGTGTGTTCGCAACAGATGATTAGGTGGAGAGATGTTGGATCTTTCCTGAAAGGCAGAGAACGAGCATCTAGAGTCTTTGATGTAATGATTGTGATGGTTTGAATACTTTTTTTCTCTAATTAAAAATCACCTTTTGGAATCTAAATATTCGCTAAATTGTTTAAGTACCATCAACCGAACAGGAGTGTGTTTGCTTAATTGACATTAGACATCAAAAAAGTTCCAGGAATGGTTCAGTTGGCTGCGTATGACTCCCCCTCTCCAATTTGTGTATATGTTTATATCTGATAAGGCTGATATTAAATGAGATCTTTATTTGGATTTGTTCCCTTGTTAAAACATTCAAATATATTGTTTATCATTTACGTTAAAATACAGCGTTAGTAAATACATTTGTGTAATGGCCATTATTAAAGTTGAACCAGTTTGTTAAAGATGTACTCATTACATCATAAATTACTGAGTGAAGCTAAAATAGAGGTTTCCCTCCAGGTCAATTTTTATCATGCATCCATCCATTCTTGTTTATCTAAGAGGAGTTTTTAGGGGACTGGTCCCCAATAGCAACATACCTGAGAGAGGGATGGTCGAGAGTTATAAGAATGTGGGGGACAAAAGTGGAAGAGAGAGTGCATTTTGTTTGTGTGTTGTTTGGGTGTTCTTGTTTAGTGGGTTTTAAATGTGTCTTGTCTATTTGTTATATCATCCTATATTGAAAATGAAAAACATTGATAGTAATTAAGTAAAGAAAGAGGTTACCAGTGAAAAAGCTTGAACTAGACTGACTGTATTAAAACACCAGAATATGATGGGAAACAACAACAGCAATGTTTTATAAGGTAGACACAACTAAAAAACTGGTGTCTAATTGGACATCATAGATGTAAATGTGGGAAAACCATCTCTTGGTATTAAAAGCTGTCTAGTTTGCAAAAATCTAGCTTAGAAATGTGGGGGTTATTAAGGTTACCAGCTGTCATGACAGCAGGTTGACAGTCCCTGCCCTGGTAATGGAACTTAGTGCCACAGAACTGAGATTTCAATTCAAAAATAGAACGTCGGGATGGAGCTACCTGGTGGGCTTGGATTTGAAACCTGGTCATTATCAACCACTTCCATTTATAGTTGTGTAACTAGTGTAGCTACTTACCCCGAGGTAAAATAACAATGTTAAAAACTCACATGTTAATTCAGTGCACATTATCCCTGCATGTTTGGTTTCTGAACGTAAACAAACTGCATCTGCATAATTCCAACAAGTTTCTGTGTGCTGAATTCTCATGGCTTTTCTCAAACCGTATTCTACTTGTTGATCTATTATTCATGAGATAGTGCTGTGTTCAACCCACATAAATCCAGAAATAGAAGACATTTTAGTAGCCTACACCTTTTTCTCTATAAAACAATAAATAGTAGACAGACTTGAGCTAATTTTGGATTTGTTGGGTAATTTGTATGATTTTGGAAATGGATTTGGAGCCAGAGACAATGACACATTAATGATGGATTGTGCAGCTCAGTCAGGGTTCTGTGTGTCTGCTAAAAATATCTCATTCAGAAACATTGACAACTTCAGCTTCATGCCATGAGATGTGCTAACTCAGCAAGGACAGCGGGACCACTTATACATATACTACCACATATAACGACAAGGAACTTACAATAAATGATAAACTTTAGGTAAATCAACATATACCTCTGGCTATTTCTGTTTCTTTTATTCTTCCTTTACTTTGAAACCAAGGGCAGGTATAGGTGAAACGTAACAGAGGAAAAAAAGGCCAAATTAATCCTTGACTAATTGAGAGGTAGTGTAATTGGATTAGTGTAGTATAGTATGTACAGTACGTGCTGGCAGCCACTGAGTTACACTGAGATAT